TCAATCACGCAGTAACGTCTCCCCCCCCGCCGGTGTGTCTTTGCAACAGAGACAAATTTGTGTGTTTGTTGGTGCTAAAAAAAATCACTCCCCCCCCCCCCCCCCCCCCCCCCGCCCATCGAGCTGATGATCGGCCTGTGTGTGTGTGTGTGTGTGTGGGTAATTGTGTATAGTGTGGATTAGTAACTGTTTTTTTTTGCCAGTGTACCGCAAGGCCAACAATGCACAGGTGTTGCAAAAACATATGCAATTTTCGCGACATTTTCCCTAACAGCTAATTAATATTTAATTCATATAATGAATGTATTTTGCGGAAAAATCAATTTTCATGCAAAGACTAATCTGCATAGTCGTCAGTCGTTTCAGTGTAATGCACAAGTAAAACTTGAGAGCCTTGCCTTTTCACAAATTTTGTGAACAGTTTTATGTACGATATAAATGCGACACAATAGAAAGCATAAATATTTGTCATACCTGGCTTTGGGTTTTACTACCCAGAAATTGATCTGTGTATCAACTTAAACAGTAAAAATACCGTTTTTTTCGTAGGTGATTCTCCCGCCTTTCCTTCGATCTCTCTACTTTTCTCTACGTCTCTTGCATGTCCTGTGTGGCGGTGTGTGTATACCCTTTGCCGGTGTAAGGGATATACATATAACGGCATTAGTAAGAAGAGAGGAATATAGATTTAACGGCGTTTCATGGTACAGTTCGCAGCTGGACATAATTTTTCCGTTTTACTATAAAACATAAATTAATTTGTGTGGCTTGATTTTTTTCCAGAATTTTGCATGTGGTCAGAGAACGATAAAGCGCACAGCGGAACAATGTAAGAAGACCAATCGCTAGACTTCGGTTTTACGAACATTCGTCATATAAAAGTGGAGATATTGAGGATTGAAAACATCCAAACAATCGATGAATCACGGTCTAAAAGGGATACAGAAGTCGAATGCAAAACGAAACACAAATAGTGTGGAAAACGGAATATACAAGGTGAGTGGGGAAGGATTGTTCCCTTTTTTCAGGATTGATCAATTGCTTAATGCCTTTTCTTTTAGCGACACTAAACACAAACAGATCAGCCAACACCTAAGAAGCCGCCAGGCAACGACGGCACTCACAGTCTGAGGAGTCCCGTCCAATCGCGATTCGATCGGATCATTGCTGCTGCTGCTGCTGCTAATATGCGTGTCATCGCGCCGCGTGGATCATCAACGTCAGCGGCGGGCAGCGGCAGTCTTTACGGCACATCGTCGTCGACCAGCGGCGGCAACGGCGCCGGCACCAGCAGCTCCAGCTCCGGTGCAACTGGTAGCGCTTCGGGTGGGGCCACCACCAACGGTTATTCGCGCTGCAACTCGTACTACGATCGCGGCAGCAGTCTCTCAAAGTTTCTGCCTACGTCAGTCTCGTCCTCAAGCTACAGCAGCGCCAGCAGCTACTATCCCAGCTCATATTCAGCCTCGACCTATGCACCGCGTTCCACTCTGCACCGAAACAGCGTTGGATCCACATCGTCGTCGTATCTAAGCGGAGGTTCAGGCTCAACCTCGTCCACCTATCGCACCAGTTCAGCGTACTTGAGCGGATCCACATATGATTCACCATCTTACGGCAGATATGGAGTGAGTTGATACATAGATTAAGCTTAATATATGGTTTTGGATACCTCCATACCCCTCTCCAAATATCCCCGAACGGTTTCCAGAATTGTGATCGGTTCCTACTTGAGTTTAATGTTCCATTGGTGGCTGATCTATCGGTTACTCCCTAGATATAGACACTTATCTATCTGTATGCTGGGCATAAATCTACTCACACCAAATGTCCCCGTCGCACTCCATTCATTTGTATCCCCGCCCCTCTTCACAATACCTTATTATGTCCATAAGAATTCATGTGCCCCAAGATAGTATCCTACGGAACACAGTAGCGTAAGGACCGATCATCCCTGCCTTAGACCTTAATTTTCTACTTCCTGACTTCCGGTGGGTGCAGACGTTGAACAGCTCTACACTATAAGCCTATAAATGGAACCATCTTAAGCTCAACAGGCAGTAATGGATTGAAGCTATTCTGTAAATAGTTGGCCAAAATATTGAAACACGTCTCCACGCTAGTGGTTAAGATATCAGAGTAATCTCCTATTGAAGTATTTTGATCCTGAACTCCAAGTGGAGAACCTCAACTATCGTCTGATTGATGAAATCGTTTAGAATCTTTGGCAGAAGCGCGCCCCATTGTCAATTTCTCATTTGTGTTTGCTTTGTCATGGGTATATAGACCCCCTTTATGTATAAATATAGCTTCGACTACATATAGTATATGTATATCCCGCTTTCGGTTGTTGGCATTTGCCTGCCTCAAAGAGTCATCCAGACCAATGGTGCATTGATGCAGGGTGAGGCATTAGATCATCGCAAGGAGGGGAGTGGAAGATCCCCAACTCACCTTGATCCCGGACTGTAATCTCTCACTCAAACAGACACACACACACAGACTACACACCCATGTCTCATATTGTATGTACAACCACACCCTAGTTTTGTGGTGATTCCGCTTCCCCTTTAGAAAACCCTTTAGTGTGTTGGACTTTCACAGTTCCGATGGCATTTAGAAGTTTCATTTTTGGACGTTTTTTTTCTTTTGCTGATTGTCGTTTTTGTGTTGTTTGTGATGTGTATTTTGTCATTGCAACAACAAATCACCAACTCACCACAGCCCACGAATCAAACGCCCACCCAGCCAGCCTGCCAGCTAGCCAGACACCTAGCCAAGCCATCCCACAGCCATTTCACAACACACAACCCACACGCAGGCACACACACACACCCACCCACATGAAAATGCAACAACATTTTATACGTGCGATAAAACACACTGGGACTGTTCAAGGTACACTAATATACGGTAAGGTAGTTGCAGGAGGGGGGTGGATCGAAAGAGAACGAGAAAAGGGAGCTGGCAAAAAATAAGTATGCTACGTGGATAGCCAGCCAGCTAGGTGAGGCCTTACCTTATAATTAGTATACCTCCGGCAGAGTAGAGTAGCGGCGTCAATGGAATGCGTTCTGTGTGTACTCGTGCGAGTGTGTGTGTGTGTGTGTGTGTGCGATTGGAGCCCAACCGAGTACGACCCGCGCGAACCACTTGTTGGCAGCGATCCAACGACACCAACGAGAGCAAGGGAAACGGCAACAACTGTGTCATCCCCTTAAACTTGCTGTAAATGAAAATTCGCAATAAGGTTAATTGAATAGCATTGTCGTCATATACATATACAGCGTATACATATGTATGTATATATGTACGTATATATATGTATGTCGATTGTTTGTCCGCCTGTCAATGGCCGACCGCCTGAAACGTTTGCAATATTTTCTTGAAAGTTGAATTGATATGTACAAGAATGTATTTATAATGTATTTATGTACATATGTATATTTGACATAACTGTATGATGATTTTCACACGCAATGCATCGAAGTTGAGTGCAAGCGCGACATACACACAAACACGTGCTGCAAATCAGCTGCTTTACCGTTTGAAAAGTACTTAAGTTCAGTTATAGAAGCAAACATACAGCTATGTACACATGAATATGTACAAACCATTAAAATTTGAACTTGGGCAACAAGATAAGCGTGGCAAGGGTGCGCCATACCCTTGTCATACATATGTATGTGGCACCTCTTTTTGTTTCACGTTCAGTCGAGCATTCATCGTTGCTGGTGGGAGTGGAGTTTTTGGCCTCCTGTCGTTTGGGATATTACTGAACATCGCATAGTCGTGTCCTACCGACTATATAGCATAATTGTGTGCCTTCAGTTTTGTTCCTTATTTTTTTTTTATTGTGAACTTACTTTACTTTTTCGAGTGTTACGTTTCCGTCTTCATTTTGTATAAATCAGTCATAAAGCTCATCATTGATGTATCTTTTATTTTTTGTTTTCTGTTACTTTTGACATTGGTTTATGTTGCGACACCATGAAACATGACCACACTTGTTCACGTTACCGTTAACGTTATCGCTACCGTTACTGCTACCTGCTACGATCCCTAAAACCACAATCGACTGTCGCCATCTCTCTCTCTCGCTCATTGAAAATCGACACACACTTGTAAATGTTTCGCCCAACCACCAACAACAAAAACAAAATTCGAAACGAAATTGAAACAAAAAGTTGCCGCGCAAGACAACAAAAGGATCCGTAACCGGTGCAGGATCAGCCACTATTGGCGAGAGTGGATTGAAGAAGAACGATTATGGATTGCGGCGTGAGGCCAAGAAACCACCGACCAGTGGCGGTGGCAGCAGCAGCAGCAGCTATGGCGAGAATGCCACTAGCAATGGGCACTCGAAACGCCTGTCCAGCTCATCCTCATCACCATCCCTAGCACGTTTAGTGGCCACATCGGGGCTGGACATGTACGAAAAGTACAGTCCGGCCAACTATAAACCCAACTGTGAACCGTCGTCACGTTCCAGATCGGGGCTCAGTGAGACGCCGTCGGGCGATGTGGATGGCAATGGAAATGGCAATGACTCGAGCACTTGCACGGTGACCCTGGACCGACCTCGGACCAGCCGCTACAGCCGGCTCTACAGCAGCAGCAGCGATGCTGGCGACTCCGCGCCAGCCACCAGCACAGGGACAGCAGCCTCATCGCGGCTGGGACAGCGCAGCGGCTCGGGTCGGTTCACATTGAGCAGCAGCAACAGCAGCGGGGATGTGCCCACGGCCACCTTTACACTCAGAAGCAACAGAACGCGGCGCAGCATTGCGGATGCATCAGCAGCAGCAGGAGAGACAGCAGCAGCAGCAACAGCAGCAGCAACGCCAACGCCACCGCCGCCGCCACCACCTCCTCCGACGACGGCATCAAGATCAATCAATGGTCATGGGTCGGACAGCAATGGACTGGACGCCAAGCTCAATGGGCTGTCGCTGCTATCGACATCACCGAAGCGGAATGCCATATACGAGAGTCGCAGTGGGAGTAGCGTGCGAGCGGCACTTGACACGACAGATGATGCCGGGGTGGACGCGGAGGAGGCGGACAACAATGGCGATGTCACCGCGACGGCTACATTCAAGTTAACCGATAACGGCAGCAAGGTAAAATATCGATATGTGGCGATGCAGCGACAAGACTGCCCCCCGAAAATTTGAACGCCCGACTAATCGCATGGCCTGCCAAAAAAATCCGATATACCCAAGCGAATATCGATAACAAAAACAAAAACCCCCTAACCCTGAATTTGTGTGAGTGTGTGTGAATGCAGCATCACAAAGAAAACACCCGCAAGCCAAATCCAATGCCAAAGCCAATCCCCGCACTGCAATCACTCCCCCAGTCCCAGTGCCATCTCCAATCAATTGAATCAGCCCCAATCCATTGCTTGCACATCGATACATGCGTTATTTCTGGTATTTTTTAGTATTTCATTTGCATTTTCATTTCATTTGATTTGAGTTTGAGTTTGAAAACTTGTGATTGATTTCTCTCTCTCTCTCCCCCTCTCTGTGCCTAAGGCCCACCGCCGCCGCCATTTAATCCAATTTACATTTTTATGTATTTTTAGCGAAACTCTTGCAGATTGCGCCCCTTCTAACTCACTTAACCAAAAGCAAAGCAAAAACAAAAGCAACTCCCAAAAACTCAACTAAATCGAACTTCCGAATATCGCAAAAACACAACAATAACTAACCTCAGAAACGCTGACTAACACCCGCAAGCCCAAGAGCCCGCAAGCTACCCCAATCAAGCCCCAGTTTAGTCCTGTCCTGTCCAGTGCTGTATAACGTCCCAGCAATTGCTACACGACTAAGGAGTAGGCCTAGGAATAGGACACGAAGTAGGCTAGAAGAATTTCAGCCTTTGCCCTACTGTTGGTTCTCTCTCTCTCTCTCTCTCTCTCTCTCTCTCTGTCTGTCTCTGTGTGTTAACAAAGTAGCCTGTGATTTCTGCAAAATTTAAGGTCCCCTTTCGTTTAGGCCTCAAAGTCAGTCAAAACTCAGCAATACTAAACTCGAGAAATGAAAGTAAAATAAAAAACACACAGACAGAAGCAGAAATCCAGGCTGATTGGACACGAATCTGTAAGTGTAGTGAGCGGGAGAATCCCATAGTATGCAGACAAGACTGCCAGCTGATGTTGAATGATGTTAGACAATAAGAAGAACAGAGGTTTCCACAAGACTCCAGCAACCAGACTGCATCGTGGAGGTGAGCCAGCATTAATAGCACTAGCAACACCATCCACAGCAGCAGCAGCAGCAGCAGCGACAGGTGCATCCACAGTAGCCGCAACCCATCAGCTGGGAGGAGGAAGGACAGCAATCACTGGTGGCACAACAGTGGCAGGCGGTAAAGGTGCAGGCAGCACAAAGCGTGGCATCAATCATATCACGGCGCGTGGCAAGGACAGTAAATCAAAGAATTACACGCTAGCAGGCATACCAGCCGGTGTGGCACGGGGACAAGGCAAACACGGCTCATCATCAGCAGCTGCAGGAGTGGCAGGAACAGGAGCAGGAGCAGGAGCAGGAGTTGGCCGCTCAGTGACAACGGGTACAGCGTGCGGCAATCCCGTGCGTACGGCCAATCAGCGTTACTTTCTGGTGCCCAACTTCAAGGATTCCACATTCCTCAAGGACGAGTGCGCGCTGGCCCTTGCCCAGGTAACGGGCGCGAGTGCGGGTGCCGGCAAATCAAAAGCCACGACCCACGGCAAGCAGCGCTCCCGTGTGGGTGAGGACAACAAGAACAATAATAACCAGAACCACAATCAGAACCAGCACCAGAGCAGCAGCAACAGCAGCAGCCATCAGCAGCACAAGGCACACGGCCATGTGGCAGAAGGTGGAGGAGGAGGAGGAGCATTGAGTGACATGCCACGTCCGCCCGTGCTCAATGGCAATCAACAGGCGGCAACAGCAGCGACGACGACGACGACGTCGAGAATCACCAGCAACGGGGGACACAAGCACGGCCACAGAACCACTGGCGCCCAGGAGCAACAGCTAACGTCGGCACAGAAGGTGGCGCTGGCCTTGCAGGCCACAGCCACTGCAGCAGGTGCAGGCAGGAATCTACTCAAGCTAAAGCCACTACCCTTTGGCAGCAGCTCCAACAATAATAACAATAATATTAACAACAACAGCAATCACGGCTACGCCAGTCAAACGAACATGAACGGACACATTAACAACAACGGCGGAGGCAGCATCAATGCCAGCAACAACAACATGCAACGTGGGCAGAAAGTGAAGCAGCAGCTGAAGCAGGAGGTGCAGCAGCAGCAGCATAAGCAGCAACTGCAAGACGATGACATCAGCTACATAGACAGCGATGATACGCCACCTCCCTCCACATCAGCAGCGGGTGGCAGCAAAGTGGCAGCAGGAGCAAGCGATCCGATGTTCCGCAACCGTCCGAGATCCACAATTATCACATCCCATTCCAACTTTGCCGCCAGCTTGGAGAAGTTCAACAACCTAAAGCTGGTCAATGGCACACCAGCGGTGGCGGCAGGCAAACGCACAGCATCCACAGTGTTGCCCAGCAATGCGCGTCGCTACGGCATCGATTCGGTTAGCATTAAGGCATCGATTGAGAAGTTCAACAATTTGAGCTGCCAGAAGCAGCGGCAGGGCAAGGAGGCGGCCACCTCGCATGCGAGAGGTGTCATGCCACGTGGTGGCCACATAGCGCATACCTCGTCCATTGGGAGTAGTGGAAATTTGCAACAGCATCGCTACAGCGGGGATCTGGAAAATGTGCGCTTGTCGGCGGGACACAGCAGTTCCCTGACACGGGCCGCCTATCGCACCACGGCGCCCATGAATTGTGTTCTCGCCGCACCCACATTGCCGCCAGCCGTGCAGCCTCTTCCGGTGTCGTTAAATTCTCAGGTAAACGACACCAAGACACAATCAAGCACGGCAACAGCAGCAGCAACAGCAGCAACCACAGTTTCCGCTTCCTCCGCCGGTTTGTCGTCATCGTCGTCGTCTTCCGTCGTCTCCACAGCCACGGCAACGGTCACGGTCACCGTGACGGGCTCAGCGACAGCCAACGATAGTGTAAGTCGTCCTCTGTCTGGCAGGGCTCCTTTCAAGGTGCACCTTCCCCACTGCCCCTCCACCCAACACACACACACACACACGCAGTCCGAGGCATTTTGCAGTCGAGTACAGTACAGTTTTTCTTCAGTTTCTCTCTCTCTCTCTCTCTTACACTCTTCTTCGCTCTCTCGCGTGCTCTCTCTCTCTCTCTCTTTCTCTCTCTCGCCATTCCGTTTAGTTTTATATTTGATTTGTGCCGGGTTAGAATTTGTTGTCGCTAGAAAACATTTGAAAACATTCGAAAAATTTGCATTTTATTCATTATCCTTCGCCCCGATCGCTCTCGCTTGCACCTTAGTTGCCCTTACCCCCCTCATATTTGTTATTATTGTTTTTATTTTGTTATTGTGTCTGTCGTTTGTTCGCTACGTTTTTGGTTTGTTTTCTGTTTTTATTGCCATACAAGCCCCCGCATGTTATGAAAATCACCACAAAGCCACACACGAACTCACCACATTAAGTGAAGACCAGAACCACCTATCACTTACCTGCCACATTAGAACTATTTTAATTATATTATTGTTATCGTTTAACTCCTCTAACTGCTCGATTGCTAACTGTGCTTTGATTATAATTAATCGATAACTAATCGACTCGCCTTCGATTGTCAACTGTCTGCTCTCTGGACAGTTGCCAATCGACGCCGACTTTTGGACACAAAATATCAATCCAACTAATATCGCTATCGCTTCTCTGCAGGCCAGAAATGTGAGCAGCACCAGGAATGTGCTGCCGCCCGTGTCGCCAACACCCAGCCGCTACTGGGAACGGGACAGCGGCAACTCCACCACCAGCACCAGTCGCCAGTACTCATCTTCCAATTCGTCAGCTCTGAGCGGCAGCAGCAAGTACAACACCGATGAGGGTTATCGAAGCTCGACGAGTGCGCGGGAAGAGAAGGCAGAAGGTGAGTTGGAAATGGAATGTGGGGGGCTTGTGTTCAAAATAAGGGAACTAAAAGGAGGCTGTGAGGGGAAAAGATCAAGCGTAGAATATTTGTAGTTAAATTTTGAGTTTACATTTTGAACTTTACAAATAAGAGGCAGAGAAACGCGGCAGTAAATACCCAGGGGAAGCGAAGAGCCGAATGCCATTGCTGAAGCGCAACAGAAGCAGCCAGCAGCCATCCGATGTATCCGAATTGGGGAGTGCCACACGTCAATGCCGCACGATCGCACCATCACTATCAAGTGTCATTAATCTATACCGTTTCCGAATGCTTTCCACAGGTTTGTGCGGCCTGAGAAATATCGGTAATACATGTTTCATGAACTCGGTCATACAGTGCCTGAGCCACACGACTGAGCTGACACGATTTCTGCGCACACATCATGGCTCGCGCACGTCTGCCACCAAGGATCAGCTAATACTCCTCGGTAGGTGCAAGCAAACTAATCGTAGAACGTATCTATAAGCTAATTTCTGGACATTCCTTTGTGTAGAATTTGCCAAACTCATCCAGGAGATGTGGACATCAAGCGTGCACACAGTTACCCCCATGGACCTCAAGCGCGCCTTCTCTGCCAAGCATCGCATGTACAGTGATTACAATCAGCAGGATGCGCAGGAGTTTCTGCGCTTCTTTCTCGATTCACTGCACTCGGCCCTCAACTCGGGCATCAAGGGCGAAACACTCAATATTGATGATAATCTCAGGTATGTACTCGGTTCTACGCAGATCTTTCTTCCACAACTAATCCTTTATCCACCTATCTGCAGTGACAATAAGAAGGCCGATCTAACCTGGGAGTGGTATACGAGGCATGAGAACTCCTTGGTGCGCGATCTGTTTGTGGGACAACTGAAGAGCACTCTGAAGTGCACGACATGCGGCAACACGAGCGTCACCTTTGATCCATTCTGGGACTTGAGCGTGCCGCTGCCCTCCTCAACGCGCTGCAAGCTGGAGGCCTGCTTGGATCTGTTCATACGAGAGGAGATACTCGATGGCGACGAGATGCCCACATGCTCCAAGTGCAAGACGCGACGAAAATGCACCAAAAGCTTCACCATTCAACGTTTCCCCAAATATCTTGTCATACGTGAGTCAGAGTCAAAGCCAAAACAAAAGAATTGTCGCTGAGCCAAACTGTTCTTCTTTCAGATCTAAAACGCTTCTCGGAAACGCGCTGGAGCAAGCTATCGAATATTGTTGAGTTCCCCACGGCTGATCGCGACCTCAATATGGCATCCTACGGCGCCAACTCCAACTCGAATGTGCATTACTCGCTCTACGCGATATCCAATCATATGGGTGAGTGGCAAAGAAGTTACTCAGAGGCAGAGTCAGGGTCTCACGTGTCTTTCTTTCTGTTTCCTCTTTGTGGCCAGGCTCAACGGCTGGCGGTCATTATACGGCGCTCTGCAAGCATCCAGTTTCACGCAAGTGGCACGAGTTCAACGATAATATGTAAGTGCATGCAATCTGCTGGCATTCGCCCAGCCAGCCACTCACTCTCACTCACTCTCACTCACTCTCTCTTCTCTCTGCAGCGTGAGCGATTCCGTGTCCGAAAACTTTCTCGTTTCATCCAGTGCTTATATACTTTTCTACGAGCGTTCGTAGGACTCAGTGCTGAGTTCAAACGGAGTCCTTGATCTGTGTGGCGGCGTCTACAGGGCGAGGAAGGAGCAGGCAGCGGGAACAACGACAACAGCAACTACAGATCAAGGAGGGCACGGGGACAGCTGCAATTCCCTCCCAAAGAATTGCAAACTAAACTTAAAAGTTTTACTTAAAAAAAGCGGAAAAAAAAATTAAATCGTGCAGCAGTTCCCTTCCCCCCCCCCCCTCTCTCTCTGAATGGTTACCCGTAGTGTAGCGGATAATTAGCGACAATTAGTGTACATAAAAACCTCGGAACTTCGTGGCCTGAAAAGCGGTAAAAAAAACTAAAAGGAAAAACAAACAAAAAACAATTCGGTTCAGGAACATACAAACAAAAAAAGGAAAAAACAACAACAACTTTCGGCAAACTAATCCCCAGTGCAATGAACTCACAAGCCAATCAACCTCCTTAAGAACAACTAAAAACTAAAAAAAAAAAAAAAAAGTGAAAGTAAATTAAGTACAACAACAAAAATCCATCACTCGAGTGTGTGTTTCGATATTTCTTTGGTGTGAATGTTATTATTGGTTTGCCGGGAGCTATGTCCATGTGGTTGTGTGTAAAGAAAAAGAAAAACTAAAAAATAATAATGTTACAAATAAAAGAAGAGTAAAGAGAGAAAAAGAAACACCAAAACTTAAAGTGAAAACTAGTTCTATATATTTAAAAATTCGTCTTTTGTGTGCAATATATTTCATCTAGACAAAGAGCAACAACACCAATACTACTTAACGATAAACGCGATTAAACGATAGCCGATAACAGATAACTGAAACAGACAACTGAAATGAAGTGGAAGGAAGTGTAATCGCCGTCGCACCATTACAAATCACTTAAAAACAAAAAAAACTAAACACTAACTTCAATTTAAATTACGAGCTACGAGCTACAAACGGCTTTTTAGACACTAAGAGTAAACCCCACAAATAATAATTTAATTTTGAAGCATAAAAGCGGAGAAGGGAAACAACGCAAAAGTGAAGCCTGAGAGATGGCTGCATTGTGAAAACGTACTTATGATAAATGCTAAATATTAGTCAAATTAAACATCAACAACAAAACACCAAAACGAAAGGACAGAAAGAAAGAACAAGAGAACAACACCAAAAACATCAAAACATGTTCCAATTTTTCTGTTAGGCAACCGATCACCTGGGAGGCTTTTTTGTTTGTTTTGTTTTTGGGTCAGCGTAACACCAGAACTAGTCTCAAAAAAGTTGTATGCAAAGCGAAAGGAACTACTTAAGACCGGCGTCTAATAATTAACTCAAATTTTGTTGAATCTTGTGCGTATTTTCTAGTTTAAGTGAAGGACAACTTGACACCCGCCCCCGCCCCCGCCCCTGTCCCATCTCCACTGCGTCCTTGCCCTACGATAACCCCAGCAAACACCGAACAGAACCGAACCGAACCAATCAATCAACCAGCCAAGAAATACTTGCTATACATTACACATACATTATATACTTTTTGTTGCCTATATATTGTTTTTATACCTACACATTTATGAGATATATATTATGTAAATTATTTATTTATTGTATTTATTGTAAATGATATATATATATATATATTAACCAAACACACACACACACACACACACACAGAAACAGACTGCGACAGTGTACGAGTAAATATGTGTACATAACTCAACTTGTTTCCAGCATAAACAAAAAAACAGAAACAAAAGCTAATAAAATCTGCAATAAGCCAGCGACGACCCACACACACACACACACACACACACACAAAAACAAATTGGTGGAAATGCAACGTAAAATACAAATAAAAATGGGAAAACAAGAAGACACATTATTTATTTATTTGTAAATGAGAACAAAGTAAAAGTAAAAGAAAAATTAAGAAAGAGCAACCTACTATAAATATATATTTTTTTCTGGCTTAACTATTAGTTAAAATTATAATTGTTGGATATTTTACTAACGTTAAAAAAATGCAAACAAAACAAACGCAAAAGAGGAAAACAAAAAAAAAACAACTGGAGAAAAAAGCGAAAAATAAAATGCAAAAATAAACAAACATTTGAATCCTTTCTTTTGGGCGCGCAAGACCGAGATGGCATGAGACTCATCGATAGCTATGTAGTGTTGGTAAATGACTCCGGTGCACTGTCATCTATCCTCAGCTAAACAAGTTGTTGGTTGTACTTTAAAAAAACACAATTCTGGAGCTTCGCGGGGAGAACAGCGATAAACGACACCAAATATTTATAGCGCCCAACCCACCCCACACTGATTTTCCTATGAGGTTTTTATGTGCTAACATTAACATTAAAAATCGAATTCGGCCCAGGGCTCCACGAAAAACCAAACTGCTTCTGTTTGATTTTAACATTTATTATTATTTCCATTTAATAAAAGTTAAGCTATTATTGTTTTGCGACAACTGACTCTTATATTTAAAAATATATAACTGCTACACATTCACCCGAAAGTCTGTCTGTGTCTGCCTGTGTGTGTGGCTGAGGAGGTGTGTCTGTGGGTTCCTACTGCGGGCAACCTCAAACGATTTCATAACTAACAGAGAACTAGGCAAATAAATGTAATTAGAAAATATTTAAGATTTCTTGTATCAAGGCTCTAAGCGTGATGGTGGTGGTTAAGGGCAACTTAGGGTCGCAATAGTCCTCATTTTAGGCGGCCACCTGGCGACCGCTCCCCGGATGAGCAATCACTGGCGGGCGGTGGCTTTTGTGTTCTGTGTTTGATGTGGTCCGGGCGAGGGCGAGGGAAAGTTAAGTTTGTAGAGCACCAGTATCCACGTCCACGTCTGCCGAGCATAAGGCAACAGTTTAACAAAAAAGGCAACAAGTCAACTGAGAGCCGCTTGCATGCAGCGAAACGTTTCGAGGTCGGCAAGGACAATGGCAAGAGCTGCCAGAGGGCAGCTTTGCCACCGTCCAACGATCATTTGCTCCCATCCTTCTCGGCCTTGTCCGCCTTGGCACTGGCGCGCGTTGCCTTCTTGTCCTCGTACATCTTTATCAGTTCATTCTTTGTGGGTATCGGCTTGATGTGGCCCCGTTGCACCAGATACTTGATGGACACCGTGGTGCCGCCTGCAGGTAAAATTGATTAATGGCATAATGATGATGAAAATGCTGACTGGTCTTACCCAATGTGAGAGCGTAGCGCAAGGGAGTGGCCACCTTATAGCACAGATATGCAATGGCATAGTGTCCCATGTCGGAGGACTGCACCTTCTCAATAATTGTCTCGCTTAGATGCACGTACTGCAGCAGCGAGGGCACATCCACGCCGCTGCAACAAGACAAGAGACAAATCATCATTGGAGTGTCCAAAGTTCCGGCAAACAGTCTGCACAGCTTACCTCTTCGACAGATAGTAGAAGCCGCCAAACCAGGCAACCGATGTCACACAATGCACCGGGATAAGCACATACCAATACTGCTTGTACATGTGCTTGAACTTGGCAAACAGCCCCATGTTGGCGGCATCCCCAAACAGATCGGTGGCCGTTGTGGATGAGGCCTTGCTGTCTGTCTTGCTGGGGCTGGCCACTGGCGCTGGTGTTGGCTGTGCGGACTTGTGGCAGAGGCTTCTGTTTCGTGTGAACAGAAACGGGCTGGCCAGGTAGCGTGTGGCTGGCGTTGTCGTCCCCTGAGGTGTTGCCAGGTCGCGGTTCCTCCCAAACCCGTTGCTGACACCGAGAAGGCATCTTGTGTTGGATATCGTAGGCAGCCTGTGCGTCAAAAAGCGAGCACCATGTCCCATGAGCCGCGTGAGCTGTGACATGGTTGTCAGTTGGAGATGGTCAGCTAGAGTCTGGAGCCAGCAGGTGCAAGCTGTTTTTGTGCTGACTTTTGAGCTGTTGAATATTTCTCGTTCGTTTGACTGATATTGTCAATGTTCCCCTGCTTTTCGTCTATATTTCACACAGCACAGATACTTTCATGACCGGCATAATATATAAAATATACTGTCTACTCCTCACAAATATACCGAGAATTAAACCAATTTAACCCACAGAGCCCCCTTCAATTTCAACAGGTGAACAGCTTGAGTTAAACCGCCGCAAATAATGCTGTTTTTATATCACGAAATCTAACACCTGAAGTTATTAAAAAGGAATCGTTTTCGGAAACATTTATTAACCCCCCTACCCAATAATGGGCTAACGTTATTTTTTTTTGGTGATTGGTGTTCGGTGTAATACATATGGCTATTTAGAACTCTCAGCATTGAACACAAAATGTTATCAGATGGACAACTCAATTTCCCAGCGTATTGGGGGTTTCTAACGGTTCTCTTTCTATGGATTTGTTGGATAGTAAGGTTAAAAGAAAATAAGTAAACAGAAACTAACGGCATAACACGTACACATGCATGTGTATGTGGGAAAGAAAGTTACGCCATATGACCACTTGTTGCATGTCAACTGGTAGTATGCAAATTGATGAACCAAGTTTCCTTTATTAATGTTAATATTACGTTTCTTAGGCTGCTTAAATATTAATAATAATTGTTTTGACATTGTCTGCTTACGACCTTGGAAATAAACGCTTTCCGATAACTGATTGGACAATTGGTATCCTGTGCTTGCAGGATACTGCAATATACCACCAAATAGAATAAATATGGCATTATATACCTGACTTTCTATTTCACAATATACCAACAAAATATAGATCGCTGGTAGTGCTGTTGGGCGCAACACGTAGACCATATGACCGTATGACACTTTGCAGAGAAAGATGGAAAGAGATTACAGTGAGAGGGGGAGAAAGTCGATATTGATTTGTACAGCTTTCAAATAAAATGTTTGTATCTAGCAGGCTGTGTGCGTTGGAAGTGTTTTGTCACATATTTAGAGTTGCGTGAAAGCTCAGTATTAGCAGTTATCCAATTAGCGGCTAAAAACGTGATCCGTACCTAGTCACTCCACCCACGACAAAATATGTGTCTTACGGCCATAACGATTTTGTATCGATACTTAGGAAACAGCTGTTCGGCTACCTGGCATTCGCCAGAACGCGTGCTCTGTGGCTATCTTAAGGATAGGAGAGAGAGAGAAAGAAACCATGGAGCCCACGGAACAGACCCAGACACCGCTCCAGCCGGCTGTCCTCAGCCTGGACAACTGTCCCGGGACCACGCCCGGCACACCGCAGAGCAAGAACCAACTGAAGAAGCAGCGGAAACTGGCCGAGTTTGCGGAGCTGAAAAAGTTGCGGCGGGAGCGTGAGCGGCAACGCAAGAAACAGAAGCGGAGGGAGGCGAAGGAACAGGGATTGCCTGTGCGATTAGGACCCTCGCGCAAGGAGCTGAAGCGCCGTCAGGTGACCATCGCAGAGAACGGGGTGGCCACCTTCAGTGTGGCCATCGATCTGGACTACGACGACCTAATGCAGGAGCGTGACATAGCCAAGTGCGTGAAGCAGTGCCTCCGAATCTACACCATTAACCGGCGGAGTGCACAGCCGGGACGACTCCACTTCACGGGAATCAAGCGGAACGGCCACATCCATGAGTGCTTCAAGAAGAACGATGGCTGGGAGAACTGGAACGTGGAGTACCACTTCGATCGCAACCACACCGACTTGTTCGAAAAGCCGAAGCTCGTTTACCTCACCTGTGAGTCCGACACACTGCTGGATAAGGTGCAGCCCGACTGTACCTATGTCATTGGCGGCCTTGTCGATCACAATCACTTCAAGGGCCTCTGCCACTCCCGGGCCACTGAGGCGGGCTTGACCACAGCCCGCCTGCCGCTGAGCGAACATGTGGACATGAAGACACGCTCCGTACTTAGCACCTACCATGGTTAGTAGTGGCATTTGATAATTTCGATCCATTTAAGCATTTTCCCTAACATTCAAGTGTTCGAGCTGCTCAACAAGGTGGCGGCTGGTCAGGACTGGACATCGGCCATTCTCGAAACGATTCCAATGCGTAAGGGCGCCAAGGCCAAGACGACGACGAGCAATGGCCAGGAGCTGGATGCCAATTCCGAATCCGAGACCGAATCCCAGGTTGAACCGAAGACCGACAGCTGACCCCGATTCCAGCGTTTTGAGGTCTTTTTTGATTTTTATTTTAGTTTCTCTTGTTTTTATAAAATCACATTTAGTTTTGTTTCGCAAATTAAATTACAACTTAAAATACATAGTGCAAATAATAGTAATAATAAAACATATTTTTACATTTACAACGTGCAATGACGATGACGTCCCAGCGACCGACAAAGATCGCTCGCTGCCAGTTTAACACTCTTCCATTTCTGATATTTGTATACCCTTGCAGTTGGGACTCAATTATATTTTATAAGCCTCTTTTCATGCAGAAACTACAGACCGAAATCAGTGCCAATTGGGGAATTTATTAACTAGCTTTGAGTTATAAAATAAAACTCAATCACATTGCTTAAACTCACGAGTTTTATGCTTTGTTTTTGGCAAAAAATAAAACTCAAATTACTGGATTTTGAGTAAAGATTGATATGTGAGTCAAGACGAAGCCAGATCAAACCAGTTTTAAATGAAAAGCAATAGATAAACAGGTTGCAAAAGCTGATTGAAGACTGCGTTTGGCGAGTCATTTCAAATTTCAAATCTAGCAGAGACTGCAATTGATTCGGGCCAAAAATTAAAAGATTTAACATCTATTCATATGTAATTTCTTAGCAATTTAAATTTAAAATAGATTTGACCATTTCAAAAATCAATTAACATCTGTTCATCTATGGTTAAACACATCTAAGAGGAAATTGGAGGACCGAGCAAAACTTGACAGAAAAATAGGCTAGAAATGTGCAAAAGGCATGGATCAAAATCCAATTTGAAAATCTTTACGTCGCACTGCAAGGATATTTAAGCTTCGGCGTTCCGAAGTTGCTGCGTTACGTTCTTTTCGTTGGTTTTATTCTCTCTTTTAATGGGCATTATGTTTGTGCACGTGATATCGTCCATATTGGGGTATAAAATACATATATATATATATATATGGGTCTATAAATAGCACCGGAACTGGGGGAGGGGGCTACATGTAACACGTGTGTGGAAAGTGGGCTTAGATTGCAGCTAGCCACTGTGCGTGGAGGCCCTGCATTATGCCAGAATTTTCTTTTATTTTGATTTTTAGTTCTTTTTGGGTTTGATTTCGAATTGGAACTCAGATTAAGTAGCTTAAGGGCCTTACAATGTCATCTACATACAGTTATACATACATATATATTCATGTTCATATGTGTGGGTGTGTGTGTGTGTGTGTTTGTGTGCACGTGTGTGGTGGATATGTACATTATGTACATGTTCCATACTGTCTGTCCCATTTCTGTTCCTGTTTCTAGCATTTAGCGTCGTTGGGGAGTAAGCAAAGTGAAACACAAACAAATGTACAAACTAAGTATATAATAAGCATAATAGGATAAACCACAGGCACAAAAAAAAGATATATATTAAATGTAAACGTATATGGCCGTCGAAACAAAACAAAACGGACAAATTATTTAACGACTTAAAAGGGTTCACACTATCGCAAGTCAGTTGCAATAAAACAAAAATCTATCTGTTTCGATCACTAATAAAAACATTTGAACATTTACAATTATACACACACGCCGCACACACACACACACAAACAAGGGGACTTTTGGTGACGTTGTCCGCTGTGGGGGAGGATCAATAACTTATTCACCACACGCACAGAGAGTTAAGCCAAGACTTCCACCTGTGGTGAAGTTAAGTCACCTTGCATGCAGCAGCAGGAGGATACGATCTCCACCTGGGATATATCTTCACTTCATCTGCCTGTGTGTGTACGTGTGTGTGTGTGTGTGTGTGTGTCCGTCCCGTCTTCTGATAGCGTGTGTGTGTGTGTGTGTGTTTGTGTGTTGTGTAGTATATGCATGTAGTTACTGTAATAGCTTTATAATACGGCAAATCGGAGCTGTAGCTGAAGCCGGAACCGATGATTACTTAAAGTCATCCGTTTCGAGTATCTCAAAATCACTCTCATCGGACGAGTCCAGGGCGGTGACTATGCGCCGCTGCTGTTGCTGCTGTGGCTGAGATCCACCATCCCCCGCGGTCTCCACAGCATTGCTGGCACCTGCAGCCGCACCCGCACCCCACTGCACCAGGCCGGAGACAAGGCTGGGCAGCAGCTTGCCACTGTTGGCCAGCAGCGCTTGGGCCTGGCTCTTAACGGCCAAAGCCACCAGCTCGCTGGCCTGATCGGAGATCTGGTGTGCGGGCCCAGAGGTGATTTGCCGCAATTGGGGCCCACCGACGGCATCGACGGTCGTGTGATCGGGGAACTGCAGACCCTTGGAGAGGCTCTCCTCCGACGAGGATGAGGTGGTGGACAGCGAAGAGTCGCGCTTGAAGTGACCCTTGCGGAAGTCCATGTCTGAGGAGGAGCCGACCTCTGGCTGGACCCGTTGGGAGGCGGAAATGGCAGCCACCTCTCGCCTCTGCTGGGAGAGGGGTGCCAGCTCATCGTCCTCGTCCGTGGAGTGCTCATCGATCTCGGGTATCACGTCCGGTATGAGCAGTTCCGAAGGTATGTCGTCGCTGCGCTCGTCCTCCTCCTCCTCCTCGACATCTGTGGGTGAACTGATCGTGGCCACATCGCTGGCCCGCTCCAGTACAAACAGATTCGACTCATTCACATCGGGCAGGAACTCATCCTCCACCTCCGCCTCCAGGTTGTTGTAGTTCAGCTTCTCTGACCACTGGAAATCTGCAAGGATTCCGTTTTTTTCAGTTCATTTGCTGCATTGCCACACCATCTGGCTGCACTCACCTTGCGCCTTGTGCTCTATCTTCAGCAGCTTAAAGTTAAACTTGGTGGAGACCAGTGCGGACAGCACCAGGAGTGTCAGCACCACCGTCGATCCAGATATGATGTGGCCCAGCACGGCCAAGGTGGCCAGGCAGCCACTGCTAACCACGCAGAACATGCTCGGACTGTTCCTGCGCCACTCGTCGGCCCTCCGTCCCCAACACTCAATCTTGCTGCGCACCTCGGGCGTTAGAACGATGCGAAAACTGCAGCGCGTCCAGTACAGCCAGTAGCTGAGAAGGCCAAGGAACAGCACACCAAGTGGTCGAACCCTGCAAATAGTAGGAAAAACAGTGCAGGAGTAGTACAAGTGGAAGAAGTCGTTTTCAAAGTTCGACTGAAGATGCCAACGACTCGAGAGCAACTGCACAAAGATCCCCGAATATCTATCAGCGTTTAGGGCAATAATTAATAAATATCTGAAGCTGCCAAGCGTCTGTGTGGAAACATGTTCTAGCAGGAAGCATAATCAGTACCCAGTCTTGTTCTGTTCTGTGTTCTGGTCAAACCTGGTTAAGACAGCGAGCGTTTGTTTTTTTTTTTTTGGTTTGTTGATTCTCATTAGCCTTTCATGTGAACCCGTGCGGTACGCTGCGTACCGAAAGTACCGAAGCACACCCAGCTGTCTGTCTCAATCATTTGCTAACTAATCTGATGGTCCGTTATGCTTTCAGCAAATGTCTTTCGAATGTGAGTTTCAATCGACATGAATCAATGTTGTAGCTTTCGGTAAAGCTGTCTTAAAGTTATGTTCCGCACTGCACAAAACAAAATAAACTTTCAGCACATTCCATCTAGCTGACGGAGGCAATCGATCGATCTGTGTTCCATTATCTGTTACTTTGATCATCTCGAATTACAAAAGGTTCCGGCACATTGGCTACTGTTTGCTCTTCCCTTTCTCCTATCCACTCTTTCGTGCCCCTATCACTAGAATATTATCAGCTTTTGGCATTTTGATCTATACATAACTCCGCGTGTTTATCGTCGAAAGGTAGTCAAAACGATAACCCCATGTTTACCATTCTCTATTTGATATATGACAATATGTTTACTACTTTTATTATTGATTTTGTGTAAATAATACTCGTTGCGAGGTGCAAACGTGGTAACACTTTTGGGCTATGGGATCATCTGCTTTTCCTATCATTACATCACACACCTGCTTGAAGCACAACCAAGGAATGAAACTCACATATGGAATATTTCTAGGAATACTGATTCTAATCGGCATTTTTGTATGCCCATTACTCCAAGAGTTTTGATACAATAAATTATTCTACAGTAATGACTTAGTACTGGGTATTAGAGTAGACTCATAACATTCCCGCGTTTGTTGTTATTTTGCTTTGTTTTTTTCCGCTGCTCTTTTGTTTATTTTTCTTGCTGACGACTTGTTTTGGTCTTGGAAGGCATCAAATTTATTATCTCTCTCGCACTTTTTGACTTTTTTCCTATTCTGATTATCGCACTGAAAGCTCTGCGGAAGCGAAGGAAGCGGGGCAGCTGGAGATAAACCTAAATTCTAGAGCTGCTGATGCGATCGACTGATTTACGGCTGCTGCAATTGCCATGTATTATGTACATACAAAAATGGCAAGCACAGCAAAAGCAAAACGTATACATTAGCATTAGTCGCAGAATTGTAACGTTTCAATACGGAAGCGGAGAGCGCGCGCTAAGCACTGGCTAAACGTCTACTTGCACGAATTGATTGGAAATCTCAGCTGGAATGACCTACGTTTTGAGTACAATAAAGGATCTAGCCAGGACAGGGGTCGTGGGCAGGTACTTATGGGAAAATCCTTTAATTCTTTTCACATTTAGCCAGTACTTAAACAGAAAATCCATACATGTGTATGCATTTATGTACTTGTGCTTGTATTTGTGTGGAGAGAGATCTCTAGATCTTCGCTCTGTTTCCGTGCAAATAATTTCTCTGCATTTCATTTCGTTCAATTTTGGTTTTTTGGTTAATTGCGCCACACAGAATGCTTTAAATGCCCAACGGGAGGCAGATGATGCATGGAATGACATTTAAGTGTGCATGTGTGCATGTGAGTGTAAAAAGCACTCATACCAACTGCACTCTCTTGGTAGGTTGCGGGCAGGGGCAAGCCGCCAAAATGAAGGTGGAAGCACGTACAAAGAGATCAGATCACCCGTACATACAAACATATACATATGTATATATATATGTATATGGCTACATAGTGGTCTGCATTTACATACATTTATTCTTAAAATAAAACTGCAACTTTTTATGCACGCACACATACATATGCAGCATATATATATATTTTTTGTTTCTTTTCGGAATTGGGCACGCGACGTTCTTTTTGGTTCCATTCCACCTGCCTCCTTTCCTCTCCTCTGCCGGCTGTTACCGCCAGCGTTTGTGTCACCGGCTATATAACTTATTTTCGTCATTCTGCCAGCACCGAGTAAAATGTTCGAAGCTTTTAAATGGACGCATTGGGCTGCGGGGGGTAGGGAGTCTAACGGGGTGCTGCAT